ACAACGCTGCTTCTGAAGATAAATAACCGCCAATCACAACAAACAACAACAAAACATCGCTTTCAATCTTCAAGGGAGCAATTTTCAGGGAGGTAATTAAATAAAAAAAAACCAAAGGCGGTCGGGCGCGGTGCCTCTACCGCACGCACTCTCGTATGTCGTGGCGACCTCCATAGGCGCTCCTCGCTAACAGCACTTTCCCCAGACGGTCTGGCAAGGCTACGGGGGATCTTTGTGTCTGTCACGAAAACGCACATTGCACACACACACACAAACACGTGTGGAGCGCACGTTCGGTCGAGAGGGCACTGTCGGATGAAGATGAGTCTGGCTGGCCGTCCCGCCGGCACGCGTTAGAGCCACCGGAGTTAAACCCTCTACAGCAGATGAGAGGGGAGAGGTAGGAGAGTGCGTGGAGGGGAGTGGAGTGAGATTAGAGGGGGGAGGCAGGAGAGTGCGTGGAGGGGAGTAGAGTGGGATGAGAGGGGAGAGGTAGGAGAGTGCGTGGAGGAGAGTCGATTCCTACTCTGCAGGGGGAGTCATCAACAGACGGTGTTCCTATGGAGAGTCTCACCCCCCATCAAAGGCATTTCCAGCACTGACCAAGAGGGCTGGAGAACCGCAGGTCAACACCAATGCCTCAATCGTCATTCTGCGCACGAACTGACATCCTGGGCTGGGTGGCACAGGCGGCTGATGTCACATCGGATCAGTCGCTGTCCAACCTCTCACTGTCTCTCTGTCTGGCAATGAACGTCCGATAATTTCTCATGGAATATTTTCAGCACCCCCACCCACCTCCACTCCGCAAGCACCCTCAAAAGAACCACGAGTAACAGGAATGAATGGATGGGGAACAAAATTCATCATTTTATATTCGTCAGGAAAGACAAGGAATGACAGAGCACAGGACGGGTCCCGTACGAGGCGCCGTCTCGCGGGGCGAGGAGGAGCCCAAGAGGGGGGGGGGGGGGCGGGGGGGAGGGGGATGGGGGGTGGTGGGGGTGGGGGGTGGAGGGGGGGATGGGGGGTGGGGGATGTCGGGGGGGGGATCGTGACTCCTCGCGCACGGGTGGAGTCAGCACTGTGGTTGGAGTGACTTATCAGCGGACACGTGACCTTGGGTGTCATTGTCATGAACATCATGATCGTCGACGTCATCATCATAATGATCGTCGTCATCATCATCATCATGGTCATCAGGATCATCATTATTATCGTATATATAATTTTCATCAAATAATCACGTTCAACGTAGTCATCATCATCGTGGTCATGATCATCATCATCATCACCGGTCCCGTTATTATAAACATAATTGTCATCGCTGTGATAATTGATAACACAATACTTAGGATAATTTTTGTCATCATCATCATCAACATAATCATTTTTCAACGTCATCACCACCATTATTACCGTCATAAATATCGTCATCATCAAAATCATAACTGGAATGAATTCCGCAAACGTGTTTTTTCGTGTTAGAATCGTTATCTCGATTATCACGTATCATCTTAATCATCATCATTAGGATCATCATCGTCACCTATAAAACAACATGTGTTTACTTTTGTACATTAATCATCGTCATCATCATCAACCTAATTATCATCACTGTAGCCATCATCATATCTACCCGCTGGGTAGGTGCAAGAAGGTACCCCCACGATTATATTTAACGAATCGATTTGTTGTTGTTGTTGACGCAACGATGTGCCCCCCAGATTGGCTAAATCTTTGAAAGCCGCTCCGCACGTAGCATTGATTTGTAACTACCATTCATTAACCGTTTCTTAACCGGTTAATTAAAAATTAAACGGACACATGGCATGACTAAGACACACCAACTATCTTCTTTGGGTCTTTCGGTAAAGTCACGTAGAATGAGAATAAAATAATAAAATAAAACAATACAATTCTCACGACGTTTCGGCCACAACACAAGTAGCCGTCCTCAGGTGAAGAAACAGGACTGTCCAGAAGACAGCGCTTGAGTGAACCCTGTCAAGCTTGACAGCGTCTTTTAAGCTGTGTGGGAGGAACAGAGAGCCTGGACAAAGGAACATGTAACTGGGAGATTAGCATTACGGAGAGCGAACGAGCTGGGACTGGAGGAGGGGGGAGGGGAGTTTACATATAAATTAGCATGTAACTGGGGGATCAGCATGATGTTGGTGTGAGGGATTAGCACCACGGCGAGCGACGAGCTCGGACCGGGGGACGGGGGCAGAGGAGTTTACATATAAATTAGCATGTAACTGGGGGATTAGCGTTGGTGCGAGGGAGAGAAGAGCACCAAGGAGAGAAAAAATGGCGGGTTTTCCCATCTCCTCAACAACCAGCACCAAGGACAGCGACATTCAGGCGGACGGGTCAATCCATACTCGGAAGGGAGGAGGGGGAAGGAGAAACAGTCACAATGCCAGCGAAAGAGCTGCGGTCTGACGGTCACCGCAAAATACAATTAATTAAGAACCGAAATGGTTTAAAACATCTTTCTAATGGTTACTAAGCCAGAATCCATCCTCTCGGTTGAAATTGTCTCTGTGTTTGTATATGTGAATGGCTTCATGAACGAATCTCTCATGGTAGCCGGTTGGCTTGCAAAGAACCTCCGTCTTGGAGAAGTCAATGTCATGTGAATCCGCTGAATTATAACAGTGATCTGCCACGGCAGAAGAGTTCGTCCTGCCATGTTTCAAGTCTGCTTTATCTTCGCGGATGCGGTCCGAGATATGTCGTTTGGTTTCCCCAATGTAGTTGCTACCACAGAGGCACTTTAGTTTGTAAACGCCCGGGTATTGTATGTCTGGAACAGCATATTTTACAGATGGAACCAGATCACGGATTTTATGTACTGTGTTGAATCGGACCTGGATCTTGTGTTTATTCAGGATTTTTGAGATCTTTTTAGTAACCCCTGCAATGTAAGGGTAAGGTGATGGTTTTTACCCTACAATGCAGGGGTTACTAAAATGAATAAACACAAGATCCAGGTCCGATTCAACACAGTACATAAAATCCATGATCTGGTTCCATCTGTAAAAGATGCTGTTCCAGACATACAGTACCCGGGCGTTTACAAACTAAAGTGCCCCTGTGGTAGCAACTACATTGGGGAAACCAAACGACATATCTCGGACCGCATCCGCGAACATAAAGCAGACTTGAAACATGGCAGGAAGAACTCTTCTGCCGTGGCAGATCACTGTTATAATTCAGCGGGTTCACATGACATTGACTTCTCCAAGACGGAGGTTCTTTGCAAGCCAATCGACTACCATGAGAGATTCGTTTATGAAGCCATCCACATATACAAACACAGAGACAATTTCAACCGAGAGGATGGATTCTGGCTTAGTAACCATTGGAAAGATGTTTTAAACCATTTCGGTTCTTAATTAATTGTATTTTGCGGTGACCGTCAGACCGCAGCTCTTTCGCTGGCATTGTGACTGTTTCTCCCTCCCCCCTCCTCCCTTCCGAGTGTGGATTGACCCGTCCGCCTGAATGTCGCTGTCCTTGGTGCTGGTTGTTGAGGAGATGGGAAAAACCGCCATTTTTTCTCTCCTTGGTGCTCTTCTCTCCCTCACACCAACGCTAATCCCCCAGTCACATGCTAATTTATATGTAAACTCCTCTCCCCCCGTCCCCCGGTCCGAGCTCGTCGTTCGCCGTGGTGCTAATCCCTCACACAAACATTATGCTGATCCCCCAGTTACATGCTAATTTATATGTAAACTCCCCCTCTCCCCTCCTCCAGTCCCAGCTCGTTCGCTCTCCGTAATGCTAATCTCCCAGTTACATGTTCCTTTGTCCAGGCTCTCTGTTCCTCCCACACAGCTTGAAAGACGCTGTCAAGCTTGACAGGGTTCACTCAAGCGCTGTCTTCTGGACAGTCCTGTTTCTTCACCTGAGGACGACTACTTGTGTTGTGGCCGAAACGTCGTGAGAATTGTATTGTTTTATTTTATTATTTTATTCTCATTCTACGTGACTTTACCGAAAGAACCAAAGAAGATGAATCCTTGCGGTCACGAAAGCTTTAAATCGAAACACACCAACTAAATATGAGTCTCAACATGAACGGTGAAAATGTAATGTTTCAGTCCAGAAGCATCTGGGCGTTGTGAACCCATTTGTGTCTCCACCATCACAATACAGGGTGCTGAGAAACTGCAACAACACCACGTGACATGTGCTGCCTCCTCCGAGCTCTAGAGACCACGTGGAGAAAATCCCAGGCACGCGTTGACAACGATGGCGAACAAGTGGGAGACTCTTAGACTTTTTGAAGCTATTAACATTACATTTGTTATCATGTTACAGTGTATATTATTCGTTCTTCTTCCATTTAAACGACAGCCGCATGTAAGTGTTAACATTTTTTTAAAGCAGACTGTATATCAGCATCAGCATCATCATTAGCCGTGATCAATCCATTGCTGGATGAAGGACTCCACCCAGAGTCTACCCATCGCCATCTCCCACAATCCGCCTCGAGCTGTTTTCCGTCACTGGTTGCCAGAGGCTTGGGACACGGCAAGGCTTTCCTGGGTTAGGCTTTGATGGCCTGTGCTTGTGAGGGTTTTAGCTGCTGTCCATCGAACAAAGACGGTGGTCAGATGGAGGCACACTGGAGCTGTGCACTTTTAAATAATCGCGATTGAAAAACTCACTTCTTCAGAACTGCCTTAGGCGTGTCCGTTTGTTGTAATTATCCCGCACCTCCGATTAGCACGGTTGGCTGCGTACGGTGCGAAAGAAGTTCAACACAAAGACAAAGATCCCCCACATAGCCTTAGCAGATTGTAGGGGCAAGTGCTGTTAGCGAGCACCTATGAAGACCGCAACGGTACACGAGGGGGTGGGTGGCCAGCACCACGCCCGACCGCCTTTGTCTCCCCAGTGGTGATGTGTGCACACCGCACCAGGTACTCATTTGAGGCTGAGTCGATCTAGGGGAGGCCCAGGACCGGTTTCAGGTAATCGTCACTGGTGTTGGCCGTGAGCGGGAATCGAACTCGTGTCGCGGAGTTCATAGCGCAGCGCAGCTAAACGCTACACTACCGCTCCCCCACGTGCACACACACACACGGGCGTGATTTTGCGTACATTTCATATTCACGTGGAGGCGTAGCTCTGCAAGCGTTTCGCTCGCCGACACATCTGCGCGTAACCACCTTCTCGTGTACCCGTGTGCATTTATTTTATAACATTGATTTATTTTATTTTTTATCTTGATTTGAAGCTTTCGTGACTGCAGGAATCCATACTCTTTGGGTCTTTCGGTAAAGTCACGCAGGTAGCAAAATAATAGATCACGACGTTTCGGACGCAACACAAGCGTCCGTCATCAGGCGAAAAGTGGTGAGACAGCTGCTAGAAGCAAGAGGTTATATAGTAAATGTAAGGCTAGCAAACAGAAGGCTAGCAAGCGTCAGCTAATCCGAGGGAGGCGAGGGGCTGCCATAACGAGCGAGCTAAGTGTGGATGCAATTTACAGAGGGATCGGCGGCAGGAGGAGAGAGAGGGGGAGGTGTTTCTAGTGGGGAAATTTGTGGCAGCCAAATGCCCTAAACGCTGTCTTTTTAAATGTGGAGGGAAAAACCGGAGGACCCGGAGAAAAATCCACACGACCACGGGGAGAGAGAGAGAGACACGCAAACTCCAAATATTTAACAGGCGTCAGGATCGGGATCGAACCCGCGACCTCCTGCATATCAACGATGTCGTTAACATCTCACCACTGTGGCAAAATTATTGTGGACGCAGCCTCCATCTATTCCCATGCGCTGACGCCAACTTAGAACCTGGCCCGTCGAGGTCATGAAATGGTCCCCCCCCCACATTTAGAACAAAACACGCGTTTCCAAGATCTTGGCTGCGATAACTTTCAAACATGGTAAACCACTTCGTCGGGGTGCGTGTTCATCACCACGCCCGACCGCCTTTGTCTCCCCAGTGGCGAAGTTTTACACACAGCACCAGGTACTCATTTGAGGCTGCATCGCCATAGGGGAGGCCCAGGACCGGTTCAGACATTCGTCACTGGGTGTTGGCATGGCCGGAGCCGCTTCCACCAAGGAGACGGATAGGCACGTGGTAGTGAACTCTTCCACGTGCAGCTGCTCCTGCACCCTTGCGTCGCTCCCCTCTCCCATCGGCGCCGCCGCCACCGCCGGCGGCGTGCTCGTCGTGGTCATCAGAGTCGCAGCCGCAACCTCCTCATCGTCACCACCACCGCCGTCGTCACCCGCGGCATTTCTATCGCTGCACCACGCGCTCCGTCTCTCTCCCGCTTTTCCCGGCATCTTCCCCACATCGCCGGACGTAGCTCCTCCGTCCCAGCAACAACAACAACAACACAAACGCGAACAACAACAACAACAACTACGGCGGCGGCAGCAGCAGCAGCAACAACGCCGGCGCTGGCGGTTGTCGTGGTAGCGGCACTGTCGTCTGGCACGGAATCGCGCGCACGGGAGCCGCTCTTTGAAGAACTCCGTGAAGAAGATGAGAAGCACGGGGTTGATGCAGCTGTGCGCGTAGCCCAGGCAGATGCTCAGCTGGTAGGCGAGGTGGAAGCCGTCCGTGGGCTCGCTCAGCGTCAGGCCGACCATCTGCATGGCGTGGAAAGGCGCCCAGCACGCGGCGAACGCCACCACGATGGCAACGGCGGTCCTCGTGGCGCGCCGGCTCCGCGAGTTCTGCGGCCGGAGCCTCGCGCCGCGCCGCGTGGCGCTCGAGACGCGGCGCAGCGCGAGGGCGTAGAAGACGCTGATGAGCGCGAGCGGGGCGGCGAAGGCGAGGGCGAAGTTGGCCACGGCGAAGGCGGTGGCGCCGAGGCGCGCCTCGGGGAAGTCGAGGGCGCACACCTCGACGCCGTCGATGTGCAGCACGCTCGCGTAGACGGGCGCGGGCAGCGAGAGGAGGAGGCTGCAGAGCCACACGAGGAGGTTGACGAGGAAGGCGCCGCGCATGGTGCGGTTCGTGGCAGCGGTGAGCGGGTGCGCCACCGCGATGTATCTGCGGCGAGGCAGGTGACAGCGGATTCGGATTTTTTGTTTGAATGTTACATTTTTTGAAATTTAAATTGTTTTACTTTTTTTAATTTAACGTTTACAATTTTATTTTTTTATTGTTTATGTTTTTTTTTTTTAGTTTGTATCAACGGAGGAAGAATCCGATGCGCTACGAAGCTCGTTTTTGTTTCAGCGGGTGTCCGCGAGGGTCGGGTCAGCGAGTTGCTTCAACGTGGCAGGTGAACGAGAACGAAGGCACCCGCTCTGGTTTGTGGCGGAGCATTTCATCGATCGTTGTGTTGGGAGGATGGCCCGCGGAAGCGGATGTCAGGGAACTGCTGCTGAAGATGCGGCGCCTTATAAGTGAACCCTGGTGGCAGGCGGCAGCACGTTCACCGACTCGGAGAGCAACGTGCGTCGCGTGACAGCGACAGCGGCGTTTCATTCTCACAGATAGAATGCGTTCGCATAGCGCAGTCATCGGTAGGAAGGAGCTAAGGCCATCAGCTCACTGCACCTGAGATCCGGGTTTAATCGCAGGGTTGCTGCCTGGATTTGAACACATCCATTCATCTGTGGATATCGAGCGGCGTTCTTCATTGCGAGGCACTGCGGGCGAATGGCGAGACCCTGGTGGACCTTTAGTGCGGCTCCCGACAATACACACATGGTGAAAATACCCCCCATCATCATCATCATCATCGCGCTGCTGTCAAACCTTAATGGTTTCAAATGTGTGTCGGCCCTTACAGACTGATTCCGTTTTAACGGCCAAAGTGGCTTCCTCTTCCCCTGAAAAGAATAGTGAAGAACGTTGCTATAGAACAATAAATATATTCACAAGGCTCCCGATGCCGGCATAAGTCGACTCGTGCTTGAAGAAATTATCAAATACCGGTGCTCGATACAGAGTCTGGAGGGCAGATGGAGCGAATAAAATGGAATGAACGAGACAATGTATATTATGTGTACATATATATTTTTAGAAGCAATGCAAACTAGACGTTAAATACTGTGCAAAAGTAATACAATCTCGGTCCCGAATAATCGAGACAAATAATCGAACCTGATATCACTTGCCACTGACGTTAATCACGGTCACAAGGTACCATCCGTGCCCCTTCGCCTGTGCACGGATGGCCCCTCCAGACGAAACGCAGCAGAGTCCCGCGCCCCCACCGCCCACTCGCCCGGCCCCGCGCTCACCTGTCGATGCACAGCACCGTGACGGTGCCCACGCTGGTGTACTGGTTGTTGACGTCCACCAGCGTGAGCGCCTTGCACATGAACCACCCGAAGCGCCACCTCTGCTCGCTCACCAGCTGGTGCGCGAGGAAGGGCATGCCGAGCAGGAAGAGGAGGTCGGCCACGGCCAGGTTGAACACGTACGCGTCCGACACGTGGCGCCTCTTGCCGCCGCCGCCGCACGCGAGCGCGCAGATGACGGCGCCGTTGGCCGCCACTCCGCACACGCAGAGCAGCACGTAGGTGGCCTGCAGCGGCGCGTGCGACGAACTCGCCGCTGCGTCGCCGCTCACGTTGAACGTTGAGTTCGACATCGAGCACGGCGCGGGGTGGCGTGGGGGGTGGACACTTGGTTGGGGTTTATGGTTGTGTGTGTGTATGTCTGTGTGTGTGTACGTGTGTGTGTGTGTGTACGTGTGTGTGTACGTTTAAATTTCTTTCGCACCGTACGTAGCGAACGGTGCTAACCGAGGTTGGTCTGCTCGCGCGCGTGCGATGCGACGCGAGTTTGTGCGACGGAGCGGTCGAGGTGGTGACGTGCGGTGAGAGAGAGAGACCGAGGGAGACCGAGAGAGAGAGACCGAGAGAGAGAGAGGGATACAGGAACGAGGGCGGAAGAGGTTGGGGGGTGGGGGGTGAGGGATGGGGAAGCCGGTGCGTGGGTGAGCGAGAGAGAGATCGTGTAGGTGTGTGAGTTCGTGTAGGTGTGTGAGTTCGTGTAGGTGTGTGAGTTCGTGTAGGTGTGTGAGTTCGTGTAGGTGTGTGAGTTCGTGTAGGTGTGTGAGTTCGTGTAGGTGTGTGAGTTCGTGTAGGTGTGTGAGTTCGTGTAGGTGTGTGAGTTCGTGTAGGTGTGTGAGTTCGTGTAGCTGTGTGAGTTCGTGTAGGTGTGTGAGTTCGTGTAGGTGTGTGAGTTCGTGTAGGTGTGTGGGTTCGTGTAGCTGTGTGGTTCGTGTAGGTGTGTGGTTCGTGTAGGTGTGTGGTTCGCGTAGGTGTGTGAGTTCGTGTAGGTGTGTGGGTTCGTGTAGGTGTGTGGGTTCGTGTAGGTGTGTGAGTTCGTGTAGGTGTGTGGTTCGTGTAGGTGTGTGAGTTCGTGTAGGTGTGTGGGTTCGTGTAGGTGTGTGGGTTCGTGTAGGTGTGTGAGTTCGTGTAGGTGTGTGGGTTCGTGTAGGTGTGTGAGTTCGTGTAGGTGTGTGGTTCGTGTAGGTGTGTGAGTTCGTGTAGGTGTGTGGGTTCGTGTAGGTGTGTGGGTTTGTGTAGGTGTGTGAGTTCGTGTAGGTGTGTGGTTCGTGTAGGTGTGTGAGTTCGTGTAGGTGTGTGAGTTCGTGTAGGTGTGTGGGTTCGTGTAGCTGTGTGGGTTCGTGTAGCTGTGTGAGTTCGTGTAGGTGTGTGGGTTCGTGTAGCTGTGTGGGTTCGTGTAGGTGTGTGGGTTCGTGTAGCTGTGTGGGTTCGTGTAGGTGTGTGGGTTCGTGTAGCTGTGTGGGTTCGTGTAGGTGTGTGAGTTCGTGTAGGTGTGTGAGTTCGTGTAGGTGTGTGAGTTCGTGTAGCTGTGTGAGTTCGTGTAGGTGTGTGAGTTCGTGTAGCTGTGTGAGTTCGTGTAGGTGTGTGAGTTCGTGTAGGTGTGTGAGTTCGTGTAGGTGTGTGAGTTCGTGTAGCTGTGTGAGTTCGTGTAGGTGTGTGAGTTCGTGTAGCTGTGTGAGTTCGTGTCGCTGTGTGGGTTCGTGTAGGTGTGTGAGTTCGTGTAGCTGTACGGGTTCGTGTAGGTGTGTGAGTTCGTGTAGGTGTGTGAGTTCGTGTAGGTGTGTGAGTTCGTGTAGCTGTGTGAGTTCGTGTAGGTGTGTGAGTTCGTGTAGGTGTGTGAGTTCGTGTAGGTGTGTGGGTTCGTGTAGCTGTGTGGTTCGTGTAGGTGTGTGGTTCGTGTAGGTGTGTGGTTCGTGTAGGTGTGTGAGTTCGTGTAGGTGTGTGGGTTCGTGTAGGTGTGTGGGTTCGTGTAGGTGTGTGAGTTCGTGTAGGTGTGTGGTTCGTGTAGGTGTGTGAGTTCGTGTAGGTGTGTGGGTTCGTGTAGGTGTGTGGGTTCGTGTAGGTGTGTGAGTTCGTGTAGGTGTGTGGGTTCGTGTAGGTGTGTGAGTTCGTGTAGGTGTGTGGTTCGTGTAGGTGTGTGAGTTCGTGTAGGTGTGTGGGTTCGTGTAGGTGTGTGGGTTCGTGTAGGTGTGTGAGTTCGTGTAGGTGTGTGGTTCGTGTAGGTGTGTGAGTTCGTGTAGGTGTGTGAGTTCGTGTAGGTGTGTGGGTTCGTGTAGCTGTGTGGGTTCGTGTAGCTGTGTGAGTTCGTGTAGGTGTGTGGGTTCGTGTAGCTGTGTGGGTTCGTGTAGGTGTGTGGGTTCGTGTAGCTGTGTGGGTTCGTGTAGGTGTGTGGGTTCGTGTAGCTGTGTGGGTTCGTGTAGGTGTGTGAGTTCGTGTAGGTGTGTGAGTTCGTGTAGGTGTGTGAGTTCGTGTAGCTGTGTGAGTTCGTGTAGGTGTGTGAGTTCGTGTAGCTGTGTGAGTTCGTGTAGGTGTGTGAGTTCGTGTAGGTGTGTGAGTTCGTGTAGGTGTGTGAGTTCGTGTAGCTGTGTGGGTTCGTGTAGCTGTGTGGGTTCGTGTAGGTGTGTGAGTTCGTGTAGCTGTGTGAGTTCGTGTAGGTGTGTGAGTTCGTGTAGCTGTGTGGGTTCGTGTAGGTGTGTGAGTTCGTGTAGGTGTGTGAGTTCGTGTAGGTGTGTGAGTTCGTGTAGCTGTGTGGGTTCGTGTAGCTGTGTGGGTTCGTGTAGGTGTGTGAGTTCGTGTAGCTGTGTGAGTTCGTGTAGGTGTGTGAGTTCGTGTAGCTGTGTGGGTTCGTGTAGGTGTGTGAGTTCGTGTAGGTGTGTGAGTTCGTGTAGGTGTGTTGGTTCGTGTAGGTGTGTGAGTTCGTGTAGGTGTGTGAGTTTGTGTAGCTGTGTGGGTTCGTGTAGGTGTGTGAGTTCGTGTAGGTGTGTGAGTTCGTGTAGGTGTGTGAGTTCGTGTAGGTGTGTGAGTTCGTGTAGCTGTGTGGGTTCGTGTAGGTGTGTGAGTTCGTGTAGCTGTGTGGGTTCGTGTAGGTGTGTGGTTCGTGTAGCTGTGTGGGTTCGTGTAGCTGTGTGGGTTCGTGTAGCTGTGTGAGTTTGTGTAGTTGTGTGAGTTCGTGTAGCTGTGTGGGTTCATGTAGGTGTGTGGTTCGTGTAGCTGTGTGAGTTCGTGTAGGTGTGTGAGTTCGTGTAGCTGTGTGGGTTCGTGTAGGTGTGTGAGTTCGTGTAGTTGTGTGGGTTCGTGTAGGTGTGTGAGTTCGTGTAGTTGTGTGGGTTCGTGTAGGTGTGTGAGTTCGTGTAGCTGTGTGGGTTCGTGTAGGTGTGTGGGTTCGTGTAGGTGTGTGGGTTCGTGTAGGTGTGTGGGTTCGTGTAGCTGTGTGGGTTCGTGTAGGTGTGTGGGTTCGTGTAGGTGTGTGGGTTCGTGTAGGTGTGTGAGTTTGTGTAGCTGTGTTGGTTCGTGTAGGTGTGGGTTCGTGTAGGTGTGTGGTTCGTGTAGGTGTGTGAGTTCGTGTAGGTGTGTGGGTTCATGTAGCTGTGGGATCGTGTAAGTTTGGGTTCGTGTAGGCGTGTGAGTATGTGAGTGAGTGTGTGAGTGACTTTGTGAGTGTGTGTGAGTGAGTGTGTGAGTGACTTTGTGAGTGTGAGTGAGTGTGTGAGTGAGTGTGTGTGTGTGTGGCTTTGTGAGTGATTTTGTGAGTGTGTGTGTGAAACGTGGCCCCCCCTAATGGAACATCTTCGCCGGTTAGAAACATTTAGGCTAGCCTGCCTACGATTCATCCTGGGTTTAACCAGGCCGGATTGTGTGAGGAGCTCACAAATCTTTGAAAGGTCCCATCGATGAGCTCCTCCGGCAGGCAAGGCTGCGTTGGCTGGGTCATGTAGCCCGCATGCCCAGCCACCGCATGGCGAAACAGCATTTGTTCGGCCGGATCGAGAGGGCTAAACGGGCGCGGCACGGGCTAGAGAAGAGATGGAGTGATGTGGTACAGGAGGACGTGGAGCTGAGTGGACTTGCCGATGACGGTGTCAAGATCGGCCTCTGTGGAGGAGGCTCGTGAAGGACGCTACTGGGCAGTTGGAGGCAGTCGCCCTCCAAAAACAACGGAGGGCGGAGGAGCGACGCTCACAACAACGAGCGGAGTGCCGGGTGGCTAAAGCACAGCAGGTTGGCACAGTAGGGGGCACAGGTGGTGCATCAGCCAGTCATCTCAGTCAGTCGACCCGTGGCACCTTCTGGGTCTGCCCCGTGACCTCCTGCCCGCGGGCGTTCGACACTTCACGTGGCCTCAAGGTGCACATAGCCTGGCACGAGCGTCGTGGTGACGTCATCGCCACTTAGTGGCGAATGGCGGTTGTTGTTGTTGTTGAGTGTGTCAGTGAGTGTGTGAGTGTATCAGTGAGTGTGTGTGTCAGTGTCTGTCCTGCCAGAGTCAATGTTTACACGGCGCGCCGGGTACTCGTGTTCACGCTGCGTCGACCTCAGGGTGATTCGGGAACGACGCAGGTGTCTCTCGTCTCAAGGTGTTCGCAGCCGCGATGCGCTAACCACTGCGCCACCGCTCCCCACTCTGTCACAGAGAGAGTACCCGACGAGTCAGCGTCGCAATAATAGCTACGTGATTAAATTGAGCGGTGATTTACGCCTTTACTCGCTTATAATGAACGAGCTCTTCGCCTTATCATCACGATGCTCCAATATTGGAAACTGCTTTAAGCGTTTTCGGCAGAAAATGTATTAAACACAATGACAAAGACCCGCCGTATAGCCTTGACGGACTGTCGGGGCAAGTGCTGCTAGCGAGCACCACATGAGCAGGAGGGACGTAGAGTCGCTCGCATCACGTCCGGCCGTCTTTGTCTCCCCAGCGCCGATGTTTAAATACGCAGCCGCAGCTATCAGGTACTCACTTACGGCTCGGTCTATTTGGCAAAGCTTCCCAGACCAGCGCAGATATTCGCCACTGATGAGGGTCGCGAACGAGAATCGGACCCAGGTTCGCTCGTTGGCGTCGTGCGGTCTTGCGCTCGTGGCTACACTCAGACTCCCCGCTCGTAATTAGACAAAGATCCCACACTGTGTAGCCTTTCACGGACCGATGGAGCAAGTGCGGTTTCGCGAGTAGCAGCACCCATGAAAGCCGTCACGGCACACGTGGCCAGCAACACGCCCGGCCGCCTTTGTCTCCACAGTGCTGATCTTTACGCACCACGCCAGGTATTCATTTTAAGGCTGAGTCGACCTGGGGGAGACCCAGGACCGGTGCAGATATTCGTCACGATTATTGGTCGTGAGCGAGAATGGAACTCGGGGATCACTGGGTTCGCATCGCGCAGTACGCTAACCACTGCGCCACCGTTCCCCCCTATAAAGATAGAGATCCTCCGTGTAGCCTTGACATACTCTCGTGCGAGTGCTGTTAGCGAGGAGCACCGATTAAGGCCGGCACGGCACACGAGGGGGTGAGCGGCCAGCAACTACGCCGAGCCGCCTTTGTCTCCCTAGTGGCGATGCGTACACAA